TTCATTGGGGAAGGACATCCAGGGACATCCAGTCCATTTTTAGAATGTGAAATGAGAAATTTTCTTTGGTTGGCTCTGTTGTTTGCCAGCTGGCCTGGTTTGAAATGTCAGTAAACTGGTATTAGTTTTGGACAGGGGAGTGTGGGTCAACATGAGGGGTGGAGGTTAACAGCTGGTAAGAGGGCATGTGCTGTATGAGGAAGAGACAGAGGAGATAAAGCTAAATTTTGGAGAAGTGTCAGGGGAGCATCACTATTTGCACAGACAGCCAATGAAGGCATGGCTTTTTCCAGATCTAGATATTTTTAGATTTAGAGTGAGCAGACTTGAAAATTGAGAGTTTCTCTAATAGACTTGAGATGGCTCATCTGCAAAGAGGGCTCATAACTGTCTGCAAAGGAGTGACCTGGTGGGTAGTTGATTGCCACCATAATTCCTGCAAAAGATATTTCTGGGGTTTCATACGCAGTGAGGAGTCTGTGAATTAAGTTGTGTCCTGATCTGAAATGTCTTTAAGCGTTCCTGCCATTCTCATCCATCCTTACGGCTTTTCAGGATTGACTAGAGGGATTGGCAGCTTTTTTTTTTCCCCATGACTGTTGTTGAGCTCTTTTGCTGGTCAGTGTTAGGTCTCAATAAAGTCAATATGTGGTGAGCTCTGGGCACACGGGTATCTGGGCATCCAGTTCCTACTAAGGAGTGAAATCTAAAGAATCATACCCAAAAGTTCAATAGCATTTAGGATCAAAAAAGAATGTTAGTTTTTAATACTCCCGTTTTAGGAATAACAAGCACTTTTAATTTATGTAATTGCTCATATCTAGGTAAAATTCTGAGCTGTTTCAGGGCAGGAACACTCAGAGTTCTGCCAATCTCCAAACAGGTCAGAAATGTGTGAGATTATAAATAAATCTTAAAACTTTTTACTGTGTTTTTTTTTAACTCCGAGCAAGGCAGCCCTCATCCTAACTCTAAAGCAATGAGATTGTTGTTTTTGTGCTCTCCCTTTATATGAGAACAAGAGGTCACTGGATGACATTACTGCTTTGTAAATTTAGAACAAATAAAAGGAAATGCTACTTCACCTAGTGCGTCGTCATCCTGTGGAATATACTGTTCCAGGATGTTAGTCAAAAGCTGTAGCCAGAACATAAAAAATAGCTGGACCATGCTCTCTTCTAGACACATTTGCCAACAGGGATAACTAAGCCTCGTGTTCCAGAGTATCGGCTCATTGTGGCTGTAGCTGAGAGCAAACACCCTGGACTCCCTGGCTGGGAAAGGACAGCTTTTCAGGGGGAAGATTGCTGTGGCTTCTTTTGGAGATGACAAGAATGATTTTTTTTTTTTTTTAAATTTTTTTTTTTTTTTTCCTGGTGTGAGATGTTAGATCATCGGTCTCGTCTAGGCAGCGCAGTGTATGTAATAGCCTTTCTCCCTCTGTTAGTATCCTTCAACAGGTGGATGTCTGAATTTGAAAGTACTGGCTCAAGTAGGAGGAGGTAAAAATGGTAGGATGACTGTTTTTCTTTCCGTGTGAGGGACAGCATGTTTCTGTTAATCTCAGTTCTGCCCTTATTCAGGACCAATGTTGTGGCGTGCCTGTTGCACATCAGCCTGCACAGGTAAGAGACCGGTGGCTGCCCGCAGCGCAGGGGAAGCAGGAGTGTCTTAGCACTCACAGGGTATCTGGTGTTGGCTGTTGTGTATGTGAGGCTGTATGAAAGGTGAGAACTGTTGAACTACTCTGCAAAGGAAGTGTCCCTATTAATATGTTTCTGGATTCCTAATTAGCCTCATTAAAATGTTTAACTGTAAGGCCACTGCATGTTAATCAGAAAAACAGGTTTGTATGGTTTCTTAATTTCCCCAAAGAATTGTTACGTTAGTTACATTAAAATCTTATCTGTCCTTCACAGTGAAGCCTGAATTGTCCCAGTTTGTCCTCCATAGAAAAGGAGTGAGGTTTGAGATTGTATTATTTTATTTCCCATCTCTGATGATACCACTAAATCCCAATACAAATGTTGCTTTAGAACTGACTAATGGGGAATGCTTTTCATAAATCTATCTTGCACAAAGTTATGTTTTATTTGCAGTTTTGTAGTTACACAATAGACCCTTTATTTTAATTCTGTGACTCTTTGTCTCGATGATTCAAGTATGAAAATCTTCTTGATCTCTTTATTTGTCCTCTTGTCTTATAAACTTTTAACTTTGTTCTCTGAACAGAGGATTGCCAGCACTGAATGTGGGGATTTTTAAGATGATGCAGTAGGTGACTTAAGAAGGAATTAGTGATTTTGTATATTGGACAGTCTCTCCAGTGACCCAGGAAGTCAGTAGCCTCAGAAATTAATTCTTATCAAAGGAGTGTCTGCATTTCTGTATTTTATGCCAATATTTTAGATTTCATGTCTTCCAAGGTGATTTAAAAATGATACTATGTACTTTGCATTTGCCCTTTTTTTTTTCCCCCAAAAAGAAACAAAAATAGGAAGAGGGACAGCACTGAATAGGAGTGTTCTGAAATGGGATCATGATGATAATACATTCATTTTACCAACTGTTATAAATTATTTTTCCCCACTGCCCAAGAGCGTGCCAGTGGCTTGTTGACTGAACTGACAGTTCCTTATAAAAACTGGCTATTTTTAAAGCAATGACAGGTCCTTGGATGCTTTGTCCTAGGATGTTTGGACTTTACATAGGGTACTGTTGTATATATGCAATTATAGATGTTCTTGGCTTTGCCACCAGAAGAAAGTGGGGCCCTGCGCTGTCTGAACAAATTATTTGAACTTGGTTTTACTTCCAGGGAAAAAGCTGCCTCCTCTTAGCAGGATTTCAGAGATGCCGCTCGTTCTTCTCTAACTTCACACTGATTTTTACACTAGTGTTTCATGCTCCGTAAAAGGTTTCCCTAGGGTAGCCTTTCTTATATAGCAGAGTTTTTGATGGAAATGCAGTTAACCGCCACTTTTCTACTTTCCCAAGGAAAAGGAAAGACTTCTGTGATTATCTTCTTTGGGAATAAATTTTATCAGAGCTGGAATTGTTTAAAGGAAAAGTCAGGGAAGAGGGAAGGAGTGCTTCAAAGTTTTATTTTTAGAAAATTGTAAATATTTATTTCTGTTTGGTTACAATTGATACAGATCAGGTCATTTTGTCCAAGATAGAATGCTCCATGCCAAAAACTGTGTTTCTAATGTGAATGGCCAGTCCTTGCATTAAAAGGTGCTTAGCAACATTCAGTGCCTACTTAATGTGTCTGTGGCACCCTTTTCTAGGTACTGGTAATGTCTCTGGGTAAAGTTAGTGTTACTGCAAGTGAATGCTGCAATCTGTCCTATGAAATGAAACATATTTTGAAAATTGAAGAGCTTAAAATAAAGGAGAAATTTACAAGTGCATCTTTTTTGTTGACATTACATACACATTTCTTAGTGGATGCTCTGATGCACTTTAATATCAACTAAAAGTTTTGTGTTCAACTTCAGAGGTTTTTCTTTTTAATCTGTTCTGTGAATGATAATGAGAGAAGCGAGAAACAGACTGGAAAATAGTAGTTAATGGGGGTCATGTATTGGGGTGATGTGTGAGGGTTTTTAGTGTTCGTTAACAAAACTTTGGCTGTGTGCTTGCGAGAGCCACATGGGCTTCATCAACCTGACACAATCCTAGTTTGTTTTCATATGTTGTTTCAGATGTTAGGGTACAATTTGCTGGAAAAGCAGATGATGTAGACAATTTTTTTTTCATGTGCAAAATGTAGAGGGACGCAGGAGAGTCTGGGCTGCTGGAAGTTTTTAGAATTTATATAAAGGGGAGCCTTTTGATTTTTTGTTAATGGTGCTCAACCTTAATGCAGCTTTTCTTAAATCCAGATCTTGCAAACACTTCAATATTGATCTAATTTAAGACATCAGTTGGATGGAAACCTGTACAGAGGTGTGCCCAGGGAGACGGTGTCAGTAAGATAAGATAACTACAGTGTGGGGAAGAAAGACTTTTGTCTTAGGAAGAATAAATGTTGATTTATAGTCAAGTCTGGACCCCAGCTGAATGGGCAGCGCTGTGGACAGCAGACATGGTCCTCTGAAGAGCTAGGAGCTTTTATTTCTCTCTGCTGCCGCCATCTGACAAAAGGAGAGAGCATTGGTGATAAGCTACACAGAGACCTGTCTGCCTTCCGGGGCAGAGGGGAGCTTCGGCCACCCTGAATGTCTTCTGCTGGTTTGTTAAAACACTGAACTGTTTAACACAGGGCAGCTAACGCATGGGAGTTAGCCCAGGGTAGAAACACACTGAGGAGAGTATTTTTACAGGAAGGCAAACTCACCACAACCTCAAGCTGCTAGTGGAGCATTTGTTGGAATATCTTTTATGTAATAAATGTAGAACAAGCCATCAGGAAACATGAGGGTTCAAAATACAGTAATTTCTCTTCTAGATTGCTTATTTGATTTCTCATCTAGATTGCTTGTCTTGTTTGATTTCCTCCCTCCTCCCTCCCCACTTGTCATGACTCTAACCAGGTTTTTAGTATGATGTTACAGAGCATGTTATCTAATTTATTAATTGCTAGAAACTGGTATATTATGGTGTTAACAAAATTTTTTAATGTTGTTGCCAATTTAAAAAGTCATTAAGTACTTGAAAAAAACTTATGCAAGTTCTGCACATGTAATATATTAACTTTTACTGCTCTGTGCTTGATTCGTATTTTGCTGTTATTTGGATATGAGAGATTTCTTTACTCAGTTCAGTACTGGGAATGACAGCTGAAATCTCTGTGGTTCTGTACACTTATGAAGGAATTAAGGTATGTTATGGTGAAGAGAAACATGGCTGAAAGGTGCAGATAACTTCTGTTCTGTTGTACAGCTCATTGGCTCTGAAAATAGCTTCAATAGACTACACTAGTGATAACGTGTTCATTTGCTGTCTCTCACTGACATGCCCAGAATACATGCTATTAATTTTCTCTCACTCTTCAGATTATCACTCCATGTCGGAAGCTCATCCTTTGTGCTGATAACAGAAAAGAGATGGAAGATTGGATTGCAGCACTGAAGACTGTACAAAACCGTGAACATTTTGAGGTAATAGGAAAATGTGCTCCTTTGCATTCTGTGCTTTCTCTCCTAAATAACAGCTTGTTTTGAGATTGGAGTCAGCTTCCAGTGAAATTAATAGAGGTCATTTTTATTGACTATAATGGGTATAGTGTTAGGGCTTCTGTAAAAACTATCTCAAATACACTGAAGTGATTCTCCAAAGAATGCTTGTGGCTTTGTATACTCTCCCTTGGTAACTTTGAGAGCGCTTTTCAGAGTATGGGTAGGCTTTGAAACACAGTTCTCCCATTGTCTTTCACTCTTCAGTTATCCTCCCTGTCCTAATTCACATCTTGCCTGCTTGGTATTCTGCCTACTTCAGTGCATGTGTTTGCTTTTGGGAGCTGTAGTTAGACGAGCACTGCCACCAAAAGAAGCTGTCTTGCGTTTTCCCCACTCTGATGCTTGTCTCCCTGTTGTCTCCTCTCTTATGCTGGCACAAGCATTCCTCTGCTATGCAATAAACCAGGTTGGGGAACTGATCTTGCTGAAAACTTAATCCAACAAAAAAATGGGGAAGGGAAGGATCAATTCTCCAGCAGATAAGCTCTCCAGTTCATTTTCTTACACACACTTGCACTGAGACAAGGATGGGAGG